CTGACTTGTCGACCAGTTTATGGTTCTCAAGGCAGTGGGGAACTTTGCCCTTTCATCACAGGAGTGAACGCAAAACGGGCAAACAGAATGTATGTTTAGTTGTTTGTTGCAATTGTGATTGTATGTTGTGATTGTATGTTTGGATTATGATTATGTGTTTAGATTGACTTGAATGTGAAGATAAAATATTTGATAGGTAAAATATGAAATCTTGACCCAAATGCGCCTTGCTTGCTATAAAAAAACTCAAGAAAAAAAAAAAAAGGATTTGGTCCTAACTGAGAATCGGACCTCTTTGGATCAGGATTAGTTCGGTTTTGCAGCACAATTTTACTAACAATCGAAATGAAAGCGAACCGTGTGTTTTTAGTTATGCTTTTGGTTCTACTTCTAAGTGAAATCCGTACCGAACCTTATCTTACCCACCCTTAAGTAATAAAATAATAAAAGCTATTAAAATAGAAATGAAATTGCCAATTTCACCTATTTGTCTTCTCTCTCTTACTTAAAAAAATAATAAAATACAAACGATAGTCTAATTGTTCAAGAAGAGGGACTTGAACTTGGGTGCAAGGGGAGATGGTTCACTGCCCTGGCCTAACCCACATTTGCCCCCCTAATTGGTCCGCCTGGGTTGAGTGAGTGGGCAAGTCCACGATTATGATGAGCTCATTGCCTGGTCAGTGTTCAGCCCCCTCCTCTATTTGTTTCCTTGCTGTAGTGTCCGAGTGTCACTGTACCTCCAGATTTTGGCAAAAATGAAATTGTTTTTGCGTTATCATATATATCAATGTATTTGCAAAAGCAGAGCATGTGCTAATAATAGCCTCGGCAAAATATTACATAAAACTAATTTCTTTTACATTGGAATCATCATCATCATCTTCTTCTTCTTGTTAAATTGAGATATGCGCCCCGGACTGCATTCATTTTGTTGACGACAACATCCATACGCATCCGCTCTGTCGGCGATACGACAGAGCATGAGATCCCTATTTGCATCACTGAAGCCACGCATTCCTCCAATCTTTTTACTTTGTCAGGGCCGGGATCCTTATATCTCGCCATGGGTCTTTCTTGTATGTCAATTTCATATTTGTGGTCGTGTTCATCATCATCCTCCTCGTCATCTGTTTCAAGCAGCAATGAAGGCTCAACTATGTCCATGGCATGGTCAGGCAAAGCCATGGCTGTGAATTGGTGAATGCTTAAACCATCTTTGAACATGTCATCAGTTGGTCTTTTTCCTGTGAACATTTCTAGCAACAGTATCCCATAGCTGTAAATATCTCCCATTATGGAAACTTGGCTTCCCATGCCATACTCTGCATGTCAATGCATACATTAGGATGTTGTAGTTGATGGACCTTTAGAATTTATCTTATATATTTCAAAATTTTCTGATACTTCTTGTCCAGTAAAAAAAGAGTCAGCAATCTTTTTTATCAAAAAGTTAATAGGAAGTGAGGATTTTAAATTTATACCTGGAGGAATGTAGCCTATGGAACCCTTTAGCCCAACTGACATGGTTTGAATTTTGGTGGGATCATTTGATGCTTGTAAGAGGAACCTTGCTAAACCAAAGTCACCAACATGGGCTACCATATCTTCATCAAGAAGAACATTGCTTGGCTTTAGATCACAATGAACAATGGCCGTTTCACAGTGGTGGTGCAGATAATCTAGTGCAGAAGCAACATCAATTGCGATATTGAGTCTTTGGATAAGGCTTAATCTCTTAGGCTGAGATTGCTCATCATCTCTTGGATGAAGCCACTGGTCTAGACTTCCATTTTCCATGAACTCCAAAACTAGACTTTTGAAGTCATTGCCCTGATTATCAATACTGGAGCAGACGGTTACGATCTTGAGAAGATTACGATGCCTTATACTTCTTAATGCTTTGCATTCACCAATGAAACTCTTGGAAGCTCCTTCTTGTTGAAGGTTTAATACCTTAACAGCAACTACCGTTCCGTCATTAGGGAGTACTCCTTTGTAAACAGAACCGAAACTTCCCGAGCCAATCAGATTGTCCACAGAGAACCCATCAGTTGCTTGAACGAGTTGAGAGTAAGAAACACCTGATTTCCAATCCGTATAAGAATGCCAAGTGACTGGTCTATCTCTTGACTTTTTCACATACGACCAAGCAGCAAAGGAGCATGACAGAGCAATTAAAAATGCTAGTGCACAAGTTATAGGGATGAATACTTTTGGGGCAAGTAATCCTCGAGGTGAATGGCGCTTTTTGCTAGAGCATGCAGGAAGAAGGAATTCTGGAATTCCACCACATAGCCTATTATTTCCAAGGATTGAGACACCACTTGCATTTGAAAAGATCCCTTCTCTAGGCAATTCACCCTCAAAATTGTTATGAGAAATATTGAGATGCTTAAGAGATCCAAGATTTCCTAGAAACTTGGGAATTTTCCCTGATAAGTTATTACGCGAAATGTCTATTTCTTCCAAGCCTCTTAACTTTTCTAATGTTAGGGGAATTGATCCTTCAAGTTTATTACCTTGCAAATGAAGACGCTCCAAACTAATACAACTGCCGAGGGTTCCTGGGATTTCACCTGATAACTTGTTTTCCGAAATATATAACTCCCCAATATTTTTCAGATCACCCACTTCAGATGGTAATGAACCGGTCAAAAAATTGTTAGATAAGGATAAAGAAATTGAAAGGGATGAAAGCCCAATAACCTCTTTAGGAATGGTGCCATTTAGATTGTTACTTGAAAGGTTAAGTATCTGTAGATTTTTGCAGTTCCCGAAACTTGGTGGTATACTTCCCCCAAACTTATTCTCTTCCATGAAGAGCCTTGTCAATGAAGTCAAGTTACCTAGGGAGGACGGAATTGGCCCAGCAAATTGGTTAGCAAACAACTCAACACCCTGTAACTTCTGAAGTTTCCCGATTACATCAGGGACACTACCACCCAAATAGTTTTCTGCCACTACCAGAAGGGTCAAGTTTATAAGATTTCCAATGCCGATAGGGATGCTTCCATGTATCAAATTGGTCCCCAAAGTAAGCCTTTTTAGCTGGGTAGAAAGGTTGGCGATTGATGCTGGCAGTTCTCCTCCAAAATGATTATCATTAAGACCCAACACCTCAAGACTAGTACAATTAGCTAGGAAACTGAGAAAATTCAGGTCACCAGTTTTCTCACTTCCTAGTCTATTTTGATCAAAGTTGAGTCTAACTAAGCTCTGCAAAGTTGCAAGATTTTCAGCGGGGAGTGGCCCAGTGAGTCCATTTTCAGCAAAATCAAGCACTTGAAGTCTCGAAGCATTGGACAATGACAGAGGAACAGTTCCAGTGAACTTGTTGACCCCACCAGCAAATATTTCA